TGTGTCCCTCCACAGTTGTGTGGCCTCGGGTGAGACACCTCTACCCTCTGAGCACTAGCTTCCCCTCTTTGAAAAGGGGTAGGTTTTAGGGTCATAATAATAGTATCCACCTCACAGAAGGGTTGTGGAGATTGAAAGAGACCACATAAGGGAGAACACCTTGTAAGCTGCAGAGGGCAAGGCACAGGTTAGTCATTAATTAACGCCTGGATTAAGGCCATGTTTTCAGGCCACGCACAGCAGCGGAATGGGCACAATGCTGGAATTCAAAGGCCTGGGTCTAAGTCCTACCAGTCATATGCCCTTGAGCCTCTTCGCCTCCCTGAGCCTCAATATTCTCTTCTGTGAAGTGGGAAAGTCAGTCATCCTTCTCCTGTGTAATCCTCAAGGCTCTGGCATTGCCTGGCTTGACGGGAAGCTAGATATGAAAACGGTTTGCAAACTGCAATACATACAAATGTGAGATGACTACAGTGCCAAGTTATGCAAAAGGTTATTCATCAACCAACCCGTCAACAAATGCTTAGTGAGCCGTACACCAAGGACACAGAAATCAAGAGTCTAGCGGGAGGAAAGAAAAAGGAGGGGCTGCATGTGAAGAGGCAACTAACAATGTACATGAGCTGGCTTGGGCTGAAGGGGGTGTTACTCAGCTCCTCCCATGTGACACTGTCCTATTTTACCTGTAACACTTTGTGAACAATGCCTTAACTGGGGTATCTGTTTTCAAACTTTTTAAAAAAAAGCAGAATCGATTTTTTAAACAAAGAGTTAAACAGAATGCCGGGCCATAAAGCATGAAAGCAAATCTGCTGTGGCTGAGACGGGTGGAGGCCCAGAGCCAGGACTACTCAGCACCCCCACCCCAGCCAGCCACCCGTCTCTCTCCCCAGTCCTGCTCCTCAGCAGCCCCAAGGCACTTCCTCCACGTGCTGAGTCTCCGCATCTCTAAGAACAGCCTGTGCACCCCACAGATACCCTCACACCAGGAGGCACCTGCGCACATGTTCATTGAAGCATTATTCGTGATGATGAACACTGGAACACCCTAAGCGTCCATCAGCAGGACAAAGGGTAAACAGATGGTGATCTATGTGTGCAGTAATTAACTTCGGTCCCATGATAGTGAATGAAAGAAGTGCACATATCAATAAAAATTAATTTCATAAATGTACTATTGAACACAAAAAGCAAGTTGCAGAATATGTTATCGTATTGCTCTGCTATTAATGTTATTCTATATTATTTGTATAAAATCTACAGATATACAAAGCAATATTGTATATGCTTAATGATACATAAACATGTAGTCAGAGTGTAAAGATGTGCGTGGGGTGCTTGCTGTCTTTAACTCAGCGGACACCTAAAGGCCTAAGAATAGCTTCACGACCTGGGGGCAGACAGAGATTTCTTAAACAGCGTACAAAAAGGACTAAACATAAAAATTTGATAAAATTTAAAAATTGATAAATTAGACTTCATTAAAATTAAGAACTGTTCATGAAAAGAGACAATGAAGAGATATTTAAAAGCAACACAGAGTAGGAAAAGATATTTACAGTATAAATATTTAAGAACCTTATTCAAAATATGTAAAAAACTCCTACAAATGAAGAAGAAACAGATGATTTAATTTTTTAAAAATCAAACTTGAATAAACACTTTATAAAAGAGGATATCCGAAGGCTACTAAACATATAAAAAGGTGTTTAACATCATTAATTATCAGAAAAATGCAAATTAAAATATAATGCCATACCACTACACACCCATCAGATGGCTAAAATTTTAAAGACTGACAACATCAAGCATTACCAAGGATGTGGATTGACCAGAGGTCCTACACACTGCTGGTAGGACTGTAAATTGGTGCAACCATTTTATAAAACTGTTTGACAGTATCTATTACAGAATGTTATGTAAACATCCCCCAGAAATTCTATTCCTGGTTATACACCCATCAGAAATGAGTTATTAAGTCCGTCGAAAGACACGCACAGGAATGTTTATATATTCATAATATCCTCAAACTGAAAATAACCCAAATGTCCATCATCAGTAGAACGGATGAATTATGGCATAGATACAATGAAATACTACACAACAGTAAAAAAAAAAAAAAAATTGAACTGTTGCTAAACATGACAATCTTCTAGGTAAATTACACAGGGGAAACAAACCAGACCCAAAGAGGATATACTGTATATCGGTCACATGAAGGTCAAAAGCTAGCAAAACTGAACTCTGTGATAGAAATCAGACTAGTGGTACTTTGGGGGAAGTATTGACTGTGGGGGGCAGGAAAGAGCCTTCTGGAGTTCTAGAAATGTTCCATATCTTGATCCAAGTGGTGGTTACACATATATATTCATTTATAAAATTTATCAAGCTGTATGCTTAAGTTTTGAGTACTTAACACATGTGATACATTGATTAAAAACTTACAAAAGCAAAAGATGTGTATAGAAATGAAAATTACTAAGGTCAGGATAAGTACTACATTCAAAAGTGTTTCTTATGCAGGGAGGGGAAAAAACACCTTAAACAGCTTCATGGAGAAGATGGGCTTTTCATTGGACCTTAAAGAATACACATGGGGCAGAGGTCCCTCCAGGAGCACAGACTGGACAGTAAGAAAGCACTAGAGGTGCTTAGCAGAGAGAAAGAGGTTGTGGCTAGAGCAGAGGATTCAGGTCATATCTGGCAGAGAAGAGAGAAATAGCCTGGTGTGGTGGACAGAGCTGGGACTTGGGTCTGGGAGTCTTAAGTTCAAATCTTAACTCCATTACCGACAAGCTCTGTGACCCTGGGGATAGTCACGTCACCTCTCTGAGTCTCAGTCCCTCCTTTTTAAAGAAGTGAATTGATGTGAAATAGTGTATATAAACTGCCTTGTATAGTGGCTGGCACATAGTACTCAAGAAACAGGAAGTCCCCATCACGATCATTACATTAGGAAACCCTCTTAACAAGATGCTATGAAGGGGTACTTGCTGTCTTTAACTCAGCTGACACCTAAAAGCCTGAAAAAAATAGAGTAGGTGCCAAGAATCCCCACATCACAAAGGGCCTGGGCCGCCTGTATGGGACAAGCTAAGAGACAGATCATGGAACATTCTGCCAGCACTCACAGGATAACAGAGTGGAATTGAAAGAGGACAGTGTGAGAAATTCCTAGAAGAGAGCTGCAAGTGTGTCATATGTTCCCCGACACAGAGGGAGGAGGTGCTTCAAGAGGACACTTGAAGAGCTAGATATGTGACCCCGGAGTTTGGAGGACACAGGGACATATGCCTCAGTAATCTAAAGGTGAGGAGCTAGATGGACAGGCTGGAGCCAGGAGAGAGGCAGCTGCTCTGGGAGGGAGCACCCCACTGTTGTTCAGTCAAGGGCAGCTTGGCTGGAGTCTCCTCAACTGGACACCTTAAAGGAAAAGGGACACTAACAGAGTGGTGGTCAGCTGAAAGCCCAGGGCCATGGGAGGAGTAAGATGCAGAGGGGAGAGAGGCAGAGTGCCACAAAAGATGGTGGACACCAGTCATGGGTGACCTTTCCTGCCCCTCACCTCTCCTCCACCTGTGACTGCCCTGCAGTGCAGGGGCCAAAACAGCAATGGGGGAGGGGTGAGCAGAGGTGGAGTGAAGAAAATCCAGTAGTGGCCATGGCTTCTAGTGCCATTTGAGTCTAGAGTAGGTGTACATGATAGGAGGTTTAATTAGATAAAAGCCTGGAGTTTTGATATTAAACTAGATTAGGTTTTCTATTTACCGAAACAAGACTGTCTCAAAGACTGAAAGGGCCCAGGAAAGCTACAAGGCCTGCTTGAGATTTTATATAGAGATGGGAAGAAAGAGCAGTCTAAAGAAGAGAGGAGAAAAAGTAAAATTGACTTCTGTTTGCATGTTGAATCCAGCTGGAACCGTAAAATGGTTACATCTGTGTAAAAGTGTCTGGCACATACTAGATGCACCTACCATTGCCCCTGGACCCTGGAAGTAGCCGCTTCCCCGGCCATCCTGGTCTTCTTCCAAGCCCAAGAAGTGCCTCCCACTCCCAGGAAGGCCTTGCTGGAGGTTGGAGGCTGACAGGCAAAAAATTCCTCTGCAAAATGTTGCCTCAGCCTCTGGAATTTACACTTGCCCCACTGCTGTCTGCTGAACATTCCTGCCTGAAATTCCAGCCGAACCATGAAACAACTGCTCTGTAAAGGCCCCGGGACTGGCAGGGGCTGGCAGGCCTCTCCTGACTTCCAAATTGCTGTCAGAGCCTGTGACCTCACTTCCTTAGCCTGCTCAAGGTGGGTTTCCTAGGCCATCCTGGATGCTCTGTGGATGGGAAGGCAGGAGCTTGAGCTCTTCGGGGCCTGGCTCGGACCACCATGGGCTGCTGAGTGGGGCTTGGTTAGGCCACTGGAAAGGCACACACCTGTGTCCTTATTCCAGGTTAAATTCCCCCTTCCAGGAGAGTTGGAGAAAGTGGATGTTCTATTAGTTCTGTTTTCTGGATAAGTAAAAAGGAGAAAAGGAGATGCCATTTATTGAGTGCTTACTGTATACCAGGTCCTGTGCTAGGGGCTTTACAGGGGTTTGTCAGACTCCTGAAAACAACCATGTGAGAAGGACAGTATTAATTTCCATTTTAAAGATCAGAAGGAAGGGTGCCCCAGGAGTTAAAAAACCAGCAAGAGGTGGGCACTGCACTTTCCACTTGTTCTTTCCTAGGCATTATACTACTTTGGATATGGTAACCTCACATTGATATACTCCACAGCAGCTGTAAATTCATTGGCTTCAAATATTTTTTTTTTCTGGACTATAATATTTAATGGAATATTAGTGTTAAGAGATGAGGGCTGGGTTCAGCCTGCCTGAGTTCCACTATTTAGGAGCTGTGTACTCATAGAAGAGTTATTTAACTTCTCTGAACCTCAGGTCCTTATCTGTAAGGAATAATACTAATAATACACCTTCTTTGTTGAATTGTGAAAGTGATATGTGATCATGCACGGGAAGCCTTTAGTCCCAACTCGGTGTGTTCTCTGTGCTCAGTAATTATTACTCAGCATTACTCTTATCACAATCTAGTGAGGGGATGGGACAGGCTATGGTTACCTAATATGGACAGATGATTAGGACTCTGAGGTTCAAAGGTTAGATGATAACCAAGGTCACGCATAGTCACTGAAATGGCCCAAATCCACAGCCTGTGTCTTGGCAGCGTGCCAGCCCCCTCACCTCTGGAGACCTGCCATGGATTTTCGGGCATTTGCCAACACTTTCCCCTCACAGCCTGCACACAGGGGAAAAGGCACTGAGCCCTGTGCAAAGACAGAGGATGCATAGGTAGTCAGCGCTGCAGGCTACCAGAGAATGTTGGTTCTATGTACTCTGTACTCTGGGGAGCTGTCTGCAGGGGTGGGAAGATGTGGCTGCTTAGAATAGACAAAAAATACAGAAGCCACTGTAGGCAAAAGTTCTCCCCAACTCCTCTGCTGTAACCTCTGTGAAGCTCCCTTTGCCCTCAGGATAAAGTCCTTAATGTAATTCCCTGGCATGTCAAATTTTTATCTCACTCCTCCCCAGTTTGATCCCTTGAAGCATTATATTGAGCTTCTCTATCCTTTTCTCTCTGGTCATCCCCTCAATACACTCATATTTGCACAGTGAAAACCCAGTTCTCTCCAGGTTAGGCTGGGGACCGCCCTCTCATTCTCAACTCCACACATCGGGGCATCTGGACAATTGTTGGCCTGGACTCTGGGCAAACAATAGCAAATCTACAAGCCAGCAGAGGAACCCAGCTCATTCTGAGTGAAAATAACCTGTCAAATCAATTATAGTGGCAGAACCAATTAGGGTGACCACAGGGGAATAAATATGCATTGTTCAACTTAATCATTTTTTGTGTTCCAACGGCACTCGGGCAGGGATGCATGACTAAGGCAAATGACTATTACATAACTGATATTTTTATTCTTTGCCCCTTCTCATCAGAAAGAAAAGCCATTAAATTTATTTTTCCTTCGAGGTGGAAAAGAAAGACAAAGAATAAAAAGAAAATTGCTTCTGAACTTAACACAAATAAGAAAGTCTAGAACCCTCAATTGTGAACAAATACACGTAAAACTACTTGTTAGCTATGTGACCTCAGGCAAGGAAGGCGCTTTTCTTCTATGATTGTGGAATCATAGAAGGAAGAGATTTGGACTTCATGATCTTCAAGGGCCATCCTTACAAATTCTAACTTGCTATAACCTAGAACAACTTTGACTTTTAAATCCTGCACAGTCACAATGGGTTTTATTTATCTTTGAGTTATCTCATTGTTCCTTGTATAGTGTCTGTATACTGACATGCTCCATAAATACTTGCTGAATTGAATTAATTGGTTCACTCTTTATTTCAACATTTGCTATCTCTAGGACACTTGCTGGGCACTGGAAGATAAATAGCCAAGTGATACAAAGAAGAATGTCCTCCGCTTGTGGGAAGCTAGGTATGTCTCTGAGAAGTGCCATTGTCTTACACATTAAGGTTAGACGAGTGTCATAGGTAGTAGGTGCTCAGAGAAGAGGGGTATTTCTAACCCTAAGATGGTCATGAAGCACTTCATGGAGGCGCTGAAATTTGAGTTGGGTCTTGAATTCTGACAGATTAATTAGATGAAAGATACTTTAGAGGTATCTATAGGAATGGCCTGTGCAGAAGTGGGGAGGGAGAAAGTTTGACAGCATTGAGCATTTGTGTTGGAAAGCAGAGGAAGATAATGTATCTTGGAACCAGACCATGAAAACCTTTGGAAGCTGGGGTGTGGAGGGTGGTGTCAATATCCTGGTTGAAATGGGAGATGAAAGTGGGATGCAGTCTGTAAGAACATCGTCTTTTCCTCTGGCCAGTGTATAAACTCGTCACTGTGAATAGTTAGAGATGGACTCTGGTATTAGTCTCTGGGAACAGTCTAGAAGTCTAACATCATGGAGAAGGGGCCAGGAGACTGTAGTTGATTGCAGAAGTGTAGACCTTTTGCTCTGCCCTAAATTCATCTACTTTGCCCAAGTATATGCTCAGAGCTTTTTGGTGCTGGAGGAGATTTAAAGGTCAATTATTAAACAGATGCTGTCGGTGCCCTCCCCTATCTTCTCAGCACTCACCCCCACACTGAAGGCTGCTGACTTCCAATACTTGCAAGCACCATGGGCTAGTGTGGGGCAAGCCCAAAGTTCCCAAGAGCTAATGTTCCTGGAAACAGCCCTCTATTAATAAAAGATGAGGATGAGGTGGATAAATCCCCAGCTTCCTCACCCCTTGGGCAGGCAGTTCTGCAGTGTGCTCCCACTCTGCCTCTCAGAGACCCCATCAGGATTGAACCCCAGCTGCCCATGGTGATGACCCGCTCAACAACACACCTTTTAGCAGCTTCCTTCCCCCTCTGCCATACTTCTTGGGTTTCCAGGGATCCTCCCAAGATAAATGAGGCTGCTGCCCTGGTTATCGTAGAGACAAAAGCACACTTTAGTCAGCCCTCTGTATCTGCGGGTTCCACGTCCATGAATTCAACCAACCACAGGTAGAATACATACCTTTTAAATGTTATGTTGTTGCTGACGTGTAATATGTTCTTAGGCCTATGATAGTTATATCTGTACTGAACATGTACAGACATTTCTTTCTTGTCATTACCCTCTAAATAACACAGTATAATAATTATTTACATAGCATTTACATTATATTAGGTATTATAAGTAATCTAGGGATGATTTAAAGTATATGGGCAGATATACGTATATTATATGCAAATACTACATCATTCTATATAAGAAACTTGAGCATCCTCGGATTTGAGTATCTTCAGGTCCTGGAACCAATCCCCCAGTATTATGGAGGGAAAACTATACTTACATTTGAATCCTTAACTCAAAGCCAGCTTCTGGGGAAACCCAAAGCAAGACAATCAATGAAACTTCCTCATTTTATAGCTGGGGAAACTGAGGCCCAGGAAGGAGAGGTGATTTGCTTACAATCACCAACCAGCTGGTTGAGTCAGGGCAGGATCCTGTGCCTGAAGGCCCCCAGCCCAGTGTCCCCCCCATTATACCAGACCATCTTAGATAAGTGCTCCCTCTCTTCCGTTCCCCACTGATGTTCCCAAAGTCAGGAGTCAGCAGTAGAAACTATTCTTCTTCTGCTCCTATTTGGACAGAAAGCAAGAGGCCTCAGCAAGGGGGAAGAGGCAAGGGTCTGAGGCTCCCAGATGTGGCCCTCATTATCCTGGGAAGTGTGCTTTCGTCTCTACGGTAACCAGGGAAGCAGCCCTATTTATCTGATTTCAGTAAAGCAGCCACCTCCTTTGGTTCCAACTGCTGGAGCCTAAATGGAGTGTTTGCAAAATAGAGTTAATAGCCCTATAAAGAAAAGAAAAGAAAAGAAAAGAAGAGGAGAGGAGAGGAGAGGAGAGGAGAGGAGGAGGAGGAGGAGGAGGAGGAGGAGGAGAAAAAGAGGAAAGTGGGTTTTTTCCCCCTCCAGGAAAGGGACAAGAAGCTTGGGGTCTTTCTATATCAATATTTAAAAAGTGTGGTATCCACAGAAACAGCTTTAGGGAGCCAGAGCAATTCCATGTAGAGATAGCAATCAGAAAATGGAGTATAGATAGATTGAGTGGTATCCTTTTAAAAGCAAGCAAATACATCTTAAAATAGTGAAGCCGTTTATTGTCAGTGAAAGGAATCCAAAAGGAATATCACTGAGGAACAAAGACATGTTCTGTCTCTTTAAATAACTCAAGGCAGCTTGACATCTTAGTCAACAGAAGGAACAAAGATATTGTGTGTTCAGGGAAAGGAAACTATTTTTCTCTTGAAAAGAAAGCAGATGTTATCACCCAGCTCTGGAGAAGATTGAGGAACCTAAGCACAATTTGACACTTTTCCAGGTTCAATAAACACTGCTTTCATGTACTAACAACCCCTAATGAAGCTGGTCAGTTAAATGGGCTAACCTTTAGGCTACTAATAGATTGTTATGACAGTTGGCCTTTCTGCGTAAGAAGCATTAAACTGCAGACTTCTTGAGCAAATTGTTATGTTTCTGCCTTGACCATGGAGGGCTAATTGCAAAATGTATTCACTCATTCATTCATTCATTCATTCATTCAGAAAATTATTTTTACTATATATGGTTGAAGAAAGAAGATATATGCATATAATAGATTAAATTGGTAATATTTGTAAAAGAAAGAAAGAAAGAAAGAAAGAAAGGAAGGAAGGAAGGAAGGAAGGAAGGAAGGAAGGAAGGAAGGAAGGAAGGAAGGAAGGAAGGAAGGAAAGAGCCCCAGGGTGTGATAGGCAGGGCAAGAAAGTGTCTCTGTCACCAAGGGAAGGAAAGAAAAGACTTCACTGAGATTAAATCTCCTTTCTCTGGCCCTCATATGGGAAGAATGTGAATAAGGTAGCCGAGGCCAAAGCCAAGGTAGTCTGACTGGGGCAGATGGTATGTGATATGGAGTTGTTGGAGAGGAGGCTGAAATGATAACTAGGATACCACGTTTTAGTTATCAGATCTTTGGAAGACCTGAGATGTCATATAAAGAAGTCTAAGCCCTTTCCTAAAGGCAATAGGGAGCCACTGAACGCTCAGGATCACACTGGGGAGGAAAACTGAGCTCAAGGTGTGGGGTTGATATGGGGAGTCTATTATGAAGTCCATTCACACATATGACTAACTTTTGGGGCAGAAGTTGAGGAGAGAGAGGAAGGAAGGGAGTGGGCTATTAAAGATTTCAAAATACAAAGTGGAAGAAAATTTTCTTAGTTGGATCAGACAGCAAGACCCAGTTGCTACACAGGTCTGGCACACACCATGGAATTATAGCAGCACCCATTTGAGCTGCTGGTTAAAATTCTACTAGGTGTTCCAGGATAAACCCTTAGATACATAACATTTATATAGCCGGTCTACAAAATTTTTGCTTTAAGCTGGACCTCAGACTTAAATTATTTGCTTAATTAATTTGTATTTTTTTCTGGCATCCCTCCAAAATCTATCTAGGGGATTAAACTCACTTGCATCTCTGAATTATTTGGGTTTTCTCTTCCACTCCTCTGAGACCAGACTTTGGAAGTGCATATTTTAGTCAGAGCTCTACTAAGCAGAAAGCTCAGGGAGTAGGGGATGCAAGATAATAAAATTTTCTGGGTAATAGAGAGATCTGTTGCTAAAACTCAATTTGTTTCAGTCTTCTTTGTGACTGCTAGTTATTAAAAAATGTCAGTCCACTTTCTCTGCCCTCCAATCGTGATTAAATGGATCCTTGCTGAAGAGGGTTCTTGCAGGTCACCGAGGAGTAGTGTGGTCATCAATAACTACAGGCCAGGGCTAGAGAAAGGGATGGAAAAGGAGAAGGAAACGGGTTACCGCCTCCGACCGTGTGGCCGAAAGGCACCATGGGAACTGAAGGCCAGCTGCCGCCACATCCCTCACTCCTCTCCATCACTTCCCTCGCCTCGCATAACCCAGCAAAGGAAGCAGGGTCAGAATCGTGGCACAGTGTCTTTTCTTGCTTAATCTTTACCCGACTTTCATGAGGAAAAGATAAATGTTGGGAGAAATACTGTTAAGGGGATTTGTTTTAAATGGCAATTTCCAGGGGTGGTCCTAAGGGTTTGGACATCCTGAATCAAATAGGGTATTAGCAAGTTCATTTCTTGTCCTGGCTCTGCTATTCATTACCTGTGTGGCCTTGAGCAAGTGGCTTCTCTTCTCTGGGCTTCATTATCTGCCTCCGTAAAGGGAGGAGACTGGGCTGTGGTCTGCAGGGTCCCTTCCATGAACTGTAAAATCGGAATAATAATGCCTTCCAGCTCACCTCGAGGAGGTGTGAGGAGATCAAAATAAAAAGTGATTGGATCTGCTTGGTTCAGCTGCAAAGCCTTGCGTAATTGGGAGAGGTAAGGAAGAGGTAAGTCTCTAAGAGAGGCTCCCCTCAGCAGTCAGGAACTTCTTGATGCAAACCAGGTGCTGGTATGATTAGATTTGAAGGAAGGGGGCCTTGGGAGACCCATGGACTGGGGGAGGAGGGACAGGAAGTAAGGTGGGCAGTCTGGCCTCCCAGAGTCTTCCTTCGGGCAGGCTCCCCATTCTACTCTCAGTCTCTGTACCCGCTTTTGTCCTGCTCATGCTCTGTCCTGCTGTGAGCACCTCCCTCACCCCTGTGATTTTTCTGCCTGGGTACTTAGGACATCCCTGGCAGGAAGCAGGCAGATATCTTTTTCATCCCCTTTCCCAGATGAGAAACTAAGCCACTTCCAGAGAGAGGTTAAGTAATGGGCCCCAAGTCCGCTGGCAAGTCAGAGCCCTAACTAGACCCAGGTCCACAGTATTGTGGGAAAAGCACAGGCTCTGAAAGCAGAGGGTGCTGATCCCTGCTGGGCTGACTCCCTCACCAGCTGTGTGACCTTGGGCAAGCTATTAAACTTTTCTGAACTTCACTTTCAGACAAAT